CTCTTTTTTATACACAATTTAGACAAAAGTATACACTAACAGGAGCTTTTATTGACATCCCCCAATATTCTCACTTCTGTTAAATGATAGTTTTGGGTCCCCACGCTTTTGCAGCTATAACAGCTTCCAATGCTTTCTGGGAAGGCTTTCTACAAGATTTTGGAGTCTGTCTGTGGGGAATTTTTGGCACATTCAGTCCAGAAGGAGCATTTTGTGGAGGTCGGACCAGCTGATTGGCACCGAGGACGGGCCCGTTCTATTTCGATCCCAAAGGTGTTGTCAATGGGGTTGGATGGGTCAGGGCCTGTGCGGGGCCAGTCAAGGTTCTTCCATACACCAAACTCATCCCAACCATTCCTTTTTAGACCTTGCTTGTTGTGCGGCGCACAGTTCGGATGCGTGGAACAGAAAAGCCCTTCCCCAAACTGTTTCCACCCAAGGCTTCCGAAGCCTAGGGAATTATCCAAAGATGACTTGCGTGGATGAAGGCAGTAAGCAATCCGCTTGCACTGGGAGGTGGCCTAGCGCCAACCCAGAAATAACTACCCTATTGAGCATTATCCCTACTCCACCAAAACTTTACAGTTGGCACAATGCAGTCAGGCCCGGCTTAACGTTCTCCTTTGGCATTTGCCAAACCCAGACTTGTCTATCAAACTGTCCAGATAAGAAGAAGCGTGATTGGCTCACTCCACAGAACACGTTTCCACTAGCTCCAGAGTCCAGTGGCGGGCGTGTGCGCTTTACACCACTGCCACCAACGGCTTGCATTGTGCTGGGGCTGATGTAAGGCTTTGTGGAGAAGGCTTGATGCAGCTGTATGGCGGCAAATCTCTGTCATAAATCGCGAGGGCATATGAGATCCACGCGAGCACAAGTCAAGCAGCCGCGGACGTATACTATTTTCGCGAGCACTAAAACGGCACTCGCGTGAGAGCCATATTGAAGGAGCCAGCCCGTCAGTATCAGGGTTAGTCAAAATGAATCCCTTGGCGGTTCTAGTGTTAATTTACCGTTTTGTCTTCTCTTTGCTTAATCGATTTAAAAGCAAGTCTAACGTAGCTTAAACTTAACGTTAGCTTTCTAGCTAACACAACACATGCATGTAGCCTACCTTTCTCTGTGTTTTTTTTTGTAGTGACGAATGAAGTTGGATGTTGTGGTGGTCGTGTCACTGATCTTTATGCTGCAGACCCTGCATACCGCTGTTCTCTTCTTATTACCGTCATCGACAACATAATCCTTGAATCCAAACTTCCCTATTTTTGGAGTAAAGCTAGCCGCTGCCATGTTAACTGACACTCCTGCCTTCTAGTGGGTTGCCAGGTTTGCATGCATGGCGCTATAATCACCCAATCACGTTTTTCGAAAAAACTAAACGTAATATCTCAATACAAAAACAAACCCAAATATTTAATTTTAAACAGTCAAGTCCTTTCAAGTCATCTATCTCAAGCTTAAGTCAAGTCTCAAGTCATGAATACCAAGTCAAAGTCAAGTCAAGTCTTTTATCAATGTTAGTCAAGAAAGTCTCAAGTCAAAAAATATGTGACTCGAGTCAAGTTAGGTGACTCGAGTCCCCACCTCTGGATACTGGTGAAGAAGTTGTCCATTGTGATATATAATAATATCGTACACTAGCAGCATTTGGCCAGTTCCTCCTGTGTAATTTGACATAGACATGAACTCTCTTCCTCACTAGTAATGGATGACAAGGTCAGGTAATGTTCAAATATTATGTACAGTTATCTTTCACAAGATATCAAATATCTCCTTAGGTAAAAGAAGTGTAAAATAAGACTTACATGAATCAGTCGTGCAAAAGCAGCCTGTTATGTTGTGACAAGTTTGGCATGTGAAAAGTTGTCCATGGTTAACATGTTCCTAACTGCAATCGTTTACAAATAAAAGCTTCCTATCAAATTCCATAGTGAATACATGTTTGGTCCAAATCACTGCTAAAATTATTATTTATAACAAAAGTATTATTATAATATGTATTTTTTTCATTTTATCACACTTGCATACAAGGGTCATTTTTGACCCATGTATGTAAACCTGATGGAGAAATACAAAAACAGTTTTAGTTCCTAAATTAAGAAAGGGAGAATGAAAATAATTATGTTTGGTGATCAAAAACAAGATAGTAAATGAATACTTGGAATATTAAATGATTCAATAAATTGATTTTCAAAAATATAGCTAAGAAACACATTGTAGGTCAATACGGGTCATTTTTTACCCATGTTGTCCCTTAGAAGGGTAGTGATACAAAAATGATTTTTATTCAAAAATTAAGAAAGGAAAAATGAAAGTAAGAAGTTGTGATAATCATAAACAAGTTAATTAAGGAATACCTGGCATTTTGAATTGTGAAAGTAATTTGTTGCAAAGATGTTTACAATTAAAACTCACTCGGGTCACTTTTGACCCATGTTGTGTATCAAAGGGTTAAGAAGAAAAAAACACTGATTCGGATGAGGTGCATCAGAACTGAATCTTTAAAGTTGCTTGTTTTGAAAGCAAGTGACAGAGTATCTCTCTTAATTAGCATCTCAAAAAATGTAACCACAATTAAATTGACTCAGTTGTTTTTGCTTGCAGATTTTCGGGGATTTGAAGGACGACCGCATGGCCATGGGTTTCCGGAAAGCTTTGAACAAGAAAGAAGGCATCCTGGCCATCGGGGGCACCAGCGAGATCTCTAGTGAAGGAACTCAGCACTCAATCTCTGGTTAGTAAAGCTATACTTAAACTAATAGAATGATATGTTAGTGTACACTGTCCAATATCATGACAGAAGGAATCTGACTCTTAACTGAACTGTATTTCAGAGCAGGAGCGCTACGCCTTCGCCAACTACATCAACTCTTCTCTGGCGGAAGATCCTGACTGTAACCACGTCCTGCCCATCGACCCCGAGACTGAAGCTCTGTTCAAAGCAGTGTCAGATGGCGTCATACTCTGGTAAACCTTAAGAAGTCCCTGCCCAAACCCTATCAATAACACTAACGCATCACTTTCGTATTACTTGTTGTAATCCATCCTTTAAAAAAAGTGTATTCTTAATCCACGGGGCCTTGGCCTTGTTTCAGTCTGATGTTGAGGCTTTGTACCAGACTATTATGCTCATATGTTTTTCTCTCATGTTGTTTTTGCAGTAAACTCATCAACCTCTCTGTTGCTGACACCATTGATGAGAGAACCATCAACAAGAAGAAACTCACAGCTTTCACCACACAGGTTAGTTAGTTGCTTAACTCGATTTTCCACTGCTTATGTTGTTTTTAGTGTGATTTAACTTCATTGCATGTATCTTTGAAAACTATTCAACTATCAAATGTGGGATACAGTAGCATATTGTGGCTGTTAAAAGATATAGAACAATGAAAGCAATTTTAAAATCATTTATTTAACGGTGATGCCAACTTTACAGTATGTCTAAAACTACATCACTGATTTTACATTACTTCCATGAATGTGACACATATTTTGGCTTCTGTCGTCCATCAGGAGAATCTGAACCTGGCTTTGAATTCCGCCTCGGCCATCGGCTGCCAAGTAGTGAACATCGGAGCTCAGGATCTGAAGGAGGGGAAACCTCACCTGGTGCTCGGACTGCTCTGGCAGATTATCAAGATCGGACTGTTCGCTGATATAGAGCTGAGCCGCAACGAAGGTGTGTACAAACACACTAGCCTGTTGACACAAAGCTAAAAGTGACAAAATCAGTCAACATGAAATATTTGTGGCATTAAATTCAAAACTTAGAGTAAAGAAATGTTAATTATTGGCGTAGTGTTAACCAGACCCATGCTTGTTTTTCCATGTGCAGCGATAGCAGCGCTGTTGGAGGAAGGGGAGAGTCTGGAGGACTTGATGAAGCTCAGTCCAGAGGAGCTGCTGCTGCGCTGGGCCAACTTCCACCTAAAGAAAGTCGGAATGTCCATATCCAACTTTTCCGGAGATATTAAGGTAAGAAAATGTCTGAACCTCTCATCAAGCCTGCTGCAGGAATGAGTCCTTAAAACCTTCCAGTTACCTTGTTTCAGAGTAAATAGGTTTGTTTGAGATGAGCTGCGGCTCGCCTCGAAAGTAGACGAGAATAGCCGTTTGCAGCCGGGGGAGGTCTCAAAAAGCTTGCCTGAAGTCGGACAGCTCTCAGTCGGCTTGACTCGGTTTGCATTTATAAAGAATGCACAAATGTGTTTAATCGTTAATGTCAGATATGTACTAAGTAAATACATTTGTTCCTGCTCAAGATTCAACTTTATTGTTATTGCACAGATTACAGGTACTGAGTTCAGGCAAGCTTTTTGAGACCTCCCCCGGCTGCAATCGGCTATTCTCGTCTACTTTCGAGGCGAGCCGCAACGCGTCTCAAACAAGCCTAAAGGCTGCCTGCCAAACGTAAACATTCAGCCACGTGACTTGCAAACTCTCGCGAGAGTTTTACACTAGATGGATCCTTTCTAGCCATAACCATAGGCCAGGGTTCCCCAATTATATTTACCAAAGGGCCAATTTTTTTCAAGCATGACAAGCTAAGGGCCAAAATGTTATGTGTCACTAAAAGTTGTTTTACACTATGTGCAGATGTTACCTCTATTATAATTGTTGTAGTAGTGGCAGTAGTAATTAAACAAACCCTGTGTTGAGAGTAAAGGAAAAATGCATCCTTGAAATAAAATTAGACCGAAATCAAACATTTATTAACAATAATAATAAATAAATGCTTTAACAAATACAAATGATTTTGCTGTGGTCTGATGGGGCATAACAATAAAACAAAAATAAAAAACAACAGAGTGAACTCTGATCAAATAGTCAGACAGGTCCACATCCAATTCAGCAAACACTGTAACACACACACACACTGGGAAAGACAGGAAGACAGAGAGAGAGTTTCAGTTAGTTACTTTTATAATGTCGTACCAAAATACACCACATTATCAGTTTTAACATTTTTAAATATGTGTACCAAATAATATCAGGCTGTAAATAACAAATAGTATTGGTTTTTTTATGTCAGATTCTCAAAGAAGACGGGAGAGGTCAGCTAACTGACTCGGATCACTAACTTCGCTAACCTCCGCTCCGAATCGCTTTGTACTCCACCGTACATACCCGGCTTGCGGTTTTGGGGCGCGGCGGACTAGTCGCTAAGGGTTAGCAAGACGTGCAGTCCGTGAAACCGAAGTCACGCCGGTCGACTCTTTCGAAGTTTCCCGCTACTGCTACGGGCGGAGGTTGCGACTCGAGGTCAACGTAGAAATGTGAGGTACCTAACTTGCACCATCAGCATCAGGTCGACCGCTCCCTCTAATAGCAGTAGCGAATCGAGGAGGTCTAATGTCAGGACCAACGAAGACCACCACCTCCTGCCCACAAACAACTTATTTCTTCTCGCACCAATGCTTCCGGTACAACTCGAAAACTCAAGCGGCCGAGTGTTGTAGTCAACCCGGCAGTGTTTGACAGACCGCGCGCCCGCCCAAGCCGGACAAACGTCGTATGTGAGGCGAGAGAATGACTCCCAGGAAAGAGGACCTCTGTGTATCTGAGTATGGACTATATGAACCCAACCATTTGACGTAAAACCCGTACCCGTACGCTGTAGGTAAAGTTAATCTCTCAATCCAATCTGCGTAGCATTGTAACATTTGTGGAAAGACACCGTACAAAACCAAAGAGGAATACAGACTCATTAATTCTGATTTCTAGTTTATATTGTTCTATGTAATAATTGTATGTATAGGTCATTATCCTCGAAAGAACGAAATGTCTACTTTTGAACCGTATTAATATGATGTTTGCTTACCGAGTTGTTGAGTGTTATGTCCTGTGAGTACAGCTAGAGCTCTTAGGCACCTTGCAGGAGAAACCACCGGCAGACCTCGTTAGACCGAGCTCGTCCACCTTCATTCGAACCCAGGACTATTCGTCTATGTCGTTTCGTCTATCTGTTCGAGTCACTCGTAGCTCTGTTTTATTGAGTTTGCTAATAAATGCAGGTAATTTGATTTAGATTGTGTTTCATGTTACCGTCTATTGTTTTGGTTCTATAATTGTGAGTGGAATACTTCTGTTCGACACACTATGCTCCACCTCTGGGACTCTCAAATTCACCCCAAAGCCGCGACGTCCATCGTATGAAAAAATCCGAATGGTCCTCAATCGAAGTGTGACCAAAGTGAGTGTTTCTCTGTCCTAAAAGAGGAACCTTAAAACTAATAACGCTTTTATTCGAATTCTCAATACTATCACCCTTTTTAACTTTATTTTTAATATATTATTTTAATGTTGTATTCAATTTAACCAGTTTGTGGGCTGCATTATCCAAGGTTTTTTCTCTATCATATTAATAATTTGTTTTTAATTACGCTGCGTAGCATTTTATTTAGGAAATATAAAATATAACTATAAAATGGTTATTTTTGTCTTAATAATTATTATACCGCAATAGAATTGACAAATTGCAAAAATAAATTGATGTTGTTCACTCACCAATCAGTGAGAGAAGTGAGAGCGGCGGGATGAGGCAAACTGTCTGATGTTGGGCTTGTATTCTGTTGTGGCAATCCTGAGGCACTGTCCAAGATGTGCACTGGAGAGTCTGTTCCTGTCCTGGCTTTTGATAGCATTCATTGAAGAAAATCCTGATTCGCAGATGTATGTTGAGGGGAACATTGTGAGTAGGAACATAGCAATAGCTCTGGTGTTTTTGAAACGAGCTTGGGGAACCACGTTGATCCAAAAGTCACACACTGGTGCATCCTTGTGTTGAGCTTTCAGCAACTCAGAGCTTCCCATTTCTAAGACCTCCATCTGAAGAGCTCCCTCTTCTATGGAAGGCACCAGGCTTTTGGCCTCTCCAGTCCACTGCCCGTCTGCTGACACAGAGAACGGCTGTCTGAGGAAGAGGAGGATGTCACGTGAGATTTTAGGGGAGCTTTCAAATCGCTCCTTGAAGTTTTCTGCCAGTTTTGACACAAAATCCTTCATTACTGGATCTTCCGGCATTTCATTCTTCTCGCAGTGCTCACGCAGACGTGGAAAGTGCAGCTTCCTCCCATGAATATCTCTCTCCAAAAGGTGCAGCTTTGACCGAAAAGCTTCAACCGCCTCGTACATCTCAGCAACAGTGTGGTTCTTGCCTTGCAGCTGCAGGTTAAGGTGATTTAGATGAGACATGATGTCACACAAAAAATTAACATCTGCTATCACCTGGGTAGTCAGTTCAAAAACTCATGGGCTTTTTGGCTCTGCAGGCTTGATAAGAACGACACCAGTTCATCACGCAGGTCGCACACCCTCTCCAACACACGGCCCTTGCTCAGCCAGCGAACATCGTTGTTGTAGTAAGAGATCCTTGTGTTCAGATGACATTTCCTCTAGCAACCGATCTAACAAAGGCGATGCTGCAGACTAGAGCTCTCAGCACGAAGTTAACCAGTCTCGTCACAGTATCCATCGTTTCTTTCATTTTTCCCCACACAGTTTTGCGCACAACACTGATTTGTGAATCGATGCAGTGAAATGTCAGAAGCGCCGGGTTAACGGCGGAAAGCCTGCTATACCAAGCCTTTGTTGCTTTCCAACCATCGACGGGAGCCCGTCAGTTACAACATGAGACGATTTGCATCACATTCAAACCTTTCTTTTCGAAGAACTGTGTCATGTGGTGGAGCATTATTTCGCAGTTCCCGACGGTCGCTGCGTGTTCCCGACAGCGTGCAGCTGACGCTATTTGATGCAGCTCTTCTCAGCCGAATGATTCGTTTTCCACAATCAAAAAGTTCGTGTAAGTGCAGGTTCTATTTTAACGTCGATCGATCAATGGTTCGTCTGCATGGTAAGCGATGTAGTCTTATTGTCAGTGGCAATGTTGGATGTGACTGAAGCCTCATGTCTCTTTGTATAATCACCTTACCTGGCAGTGCGTGCATAAGTCAAGAACCATGCTATCTGTTGCTGAGATTGTCAGGAGATAAAAGCACGCTCTGATAGCTTTTCAGTCAAAGCTGCAACCTTTTGGAGGGGGATGCGCTTTCAGGTTGGAGGAATGCTACACTTTCCATGTCTGCATGAGCATATGCGAGAAGTTTGAATTGACGTGAAGATCCAGTAATGAAGAATTTGTGTCATTGCTGGCAGAAAACTTCACGTGAAGCTCTGTGTGACCTCTGCTTCGTGAGATCTGCCCCGTTAGTGTTAAGTGACATCGCGCACTCTGCATCTACGGCGTCTGACGCAGCCATTGCTTTTATGTGTCTAAGGCTATTACAAGCTGTTCTGAAGTATCTAAGTGTCGAAGTTCTTGCATATGATTTAGATAAGGTCAGTAAGTTTACGAGTGTGCGACTCGCGATGTTCTGTACTCCTATCAAGCGATGAATGGATAGCATCTTAAGCAGGATCGCTGACGGCTTCTTGGCTCTAGCTGGTGTCCCTTAGAGATTGATGAAGCTGTGTGTTGCTGAATACCAGGCTCCGATACCACAGAAGTCAGTGAGCTGGCAAGTCACGTCGTCTGATATGCACTGCGTGTAGGTTCATGTCCTCAGTATTTGACGAGGCGCGTTCCTTCGACGGAGGACGATATACTCAAAAACACCGCGAATTGTGCTATATGTCTATCGTGTATATCAAGTGATCCGGTTAGCATCAGAATATTGCCTCCTCATATCCTCTAGGCTGTGCTCGCTGGTCGGATAGTGTCTCTTGCTCGAGAGTACATTTGACATTAAACTGTGACTCGAAATCGACACATAGAAGGAGACAGCGAAGTCAGACGACGGGGAACAGAGTTGCTGATCTCCAGTATGGACTTAGGACCTCCAATAGATGCCATGTTGTAACTCGCACAAATCTAGAAAAACAAGTCAAATACAAGCCAACTATCAGACAGGTATGTGTTCTATAATCCCCGTGACAGCATGTCTCACGTGGTGTCCACCATCCTGTGTGTCAAA